CAACCTTGGTTTTGATTCCTCCTAGCCAGCCAACTAGATGTGCCCGTCTATGCCTTAAATGGGATGGGGAACTAGGTACCAATTGATGGAGCTTGGTGTTTTGATTTTATTTTGATTTTCTTAAGTTGGACTTAGAGATATTTTATTGGTTATTTTGAGTAGATAATTGTTTCGAGGCGTGAAATGTAAAATATGCGTCCAATGAAATGATATCTAGTCTTAGTAACTAAAACATAAATAAATCTAGACCGAAGTAGTGAGTGATTAGAGCGGAGCATATGTACGCTATTTAGTAGGCCAGAAAGCGAATACGTGGCACACTCGATGGTGTCAGTTTTTTGTCATCATCGGCTTGAATTGACCCAGCGCATATCCTCCATTGTCGACTCGCTTGGTCCAAGCTTCAACAGGGAATTTACTGACCACTTCTTCCCATCGATCTTCCCCGAACCAATACAACGGCTATGAGAGCCATACATATGTACAAACATTGTAACTTAACTCCTTTGAAATAATAATATTATCCCTACCAAGGGCTGAAGCTAAACTTATTTTTACATTCTGCATTTGAAGTATTATTAACGTAAACGTCTTGGTATCGTATAGTCAGCCTAGAGGAGACCGACTTTTACAAGTTGTTCAATTCGAATTGGTCGATATCTAGTTTCAGTTTGAGGTTTTTCTTCGTTTCTTCTAGGATGGCTTCTGGTAGGTTGCGATCTGCATCAACCCATCCCAAGAAATTTCTTATCTTGCTTTCTTCTAGTATTTGTACTTGTTCGGCTTTTGACATCTTGTCAAGTTGTCTCAAATGCGTCGTAGACTTCTATTGTACAAGAGATGATGTATGCTTCGTATAACTCTAGCTCTAGAAACCTAGGACATCTTCGGATCGTCCACAGTTCGTTTTGTTTTATAGAACCCAAAACCTAACAAAGGTAGATTAATATCATAATGTATGTAGTCGTTAAAAAAAAGCATATTTACATAAATAAAAATATACGACAGTTGTTCTACTGGTGGAGGGGCTAAAAATCATAAATTTCAAGAAAACTATTAATAAAAAGTAAAAACTATGCAAGACGAGTTTTATTGTTTACAAAAAGTAATGTATTTATTTAATACTATTTCAGTATTTTAGAGGTTAACAAGGCACTCATTGCATAGTCATAAATACATAAATTTGATGACAATCTCTGGCAAAAGACGAAATTCCACCCGTAGCGGCGGACGTACATAGTCCCTGGCAACAGCTGCGACGAACGAGGGTGGCTACTGGCTACTCTCTCTCTCACTCTCTCTCTATGTAGTTAGTAGTAGCAGGAAGTAACGGCGGAATCCAAACAAACAAATGGCCGCTCTAAAGTCTAAGGTCCATAAATGTTTTTTTTAACCATAGGTGTAATAAGCCGGGCCTCCACATTAGACTCTATGTTATAAACGTACTCTTAAGCAGTACGCAATTTCTTAAACGTACTCTTAATAGTACGAGGAAATCAAGTTTCCTAAACGTACTCTCAATAGTACGAGGAACTCAAGTTTCCTAAATGTGCTC